CACACACACAGAGAGAGAGAGAGAGAGAGAGAGAGAGAGAGAGAGAGAGAGAGAGAGAGAGAGAGAGAGAGAGAGAGAGAGAGACCCCTTGACAACAGTGACGACTAAACCGTATTTGCGATCAATGATCATGGTTCTGAGTGATTGATTTGCGGGAGCGAAATTGAAAGGACCTGGCAGATATGCCGGTCAGGTCCGTGCTTACCCTCCCGACCTCATGATACCCTCGTCCACCACAGCCAGAAGAGGCGTACCCGGTCGGTAATTGAAATGTTATGGGGCCTCGACGGATCATTCATCAGAAGCACAAAACATAAAATTTATGACGATGTATTTTACCAGTTTTACGAACGATTCACCCTCATTTTGCACATTTGGCGAGTGGTGCGGCTACGCCTATGAACTCAACTTGCAACGTCAGAGAAAAGGAAAACAACAACCTCAGATCGACACGTCGGTCATCCCGAGGCTCCATTTGTTTTTTCCTTTTTTATCTCCCATGCCCCCTTTTTGTTTGTAACTGATTGCGAATGGAATTATGTTCTGGAACCTCCACCCAGTCCATATGGCCGTAAGGTGCAGACGTAAACAGTGGGTAGAACGTACAGATCATGAGTTCGAACCCACTCATTTGAGGACAAAATAGTGTTATGGGCTTCCCCCTTTTCTAAAAACAAAAAAGTAAACCACTTGCCGTTCGACTTCCGCAGTCGTCTTTAGGTTGACTGAATCCATCATGTGACCAACTTGTACGTGCTAGGGGCCAGATCCCACTGGCAAAGAGGATTGGAATGAGTGTCTGAATCTGGAGGTGTTTGTCGCGAGGTGCAGAAAACTGTGATTGATCTTCTTACATGCATCTCTGCATGGAACACGTCCAGATTCAGACACTTGTTACAATTGTCCTTGCCAGTGGGATCTGGCAGTAACATTCGAACTATGGGCCTCGCTGCACTGCTCTCCACATGCAGAAAAGAAAAAAAGACGGCAATGTATCTTTTCACGTTCTACGGGAAGATTCAGTTTCATTTTGCACATTCGGAGAGTAGTGCAGCGAGGCCCTAACATGCACCTGCCGGATGGTACCCACGTTGTTCACCCAGAACTCTATCACCCAAAATCATCAACACAACGGGGAGCTGTGTTCACTGGCCGGCCTTTGGACCGCCAGTGTCCGACGCCGGGGTTTCGTCCATCTGCGACGAAGGACATCGTGGAGGGAGGCAAAAGGCAAGGAGGGAAAGAAGAAAGACTGATTCGGGAAACAAGGTGGCCGCGAGTCCCTCGGTGCGCTAATTCTGCGCTAATTCTGCGTAGCACTACCGGTGGCAGTGCTCGCGGCGTTAGACGGGCTTAGCGCCCCTAGTGGACTCAAGGCCCGGGGGGTGTACGGTGGACGGCGCGGGACGCTCCAAATCTGTACCGCCGGGTAAAACTGGCTCAGCCATCGCTGAGTGTCGTCATCAGGACGTCCACGGCAAATTGGTCGTCGTGCTCGGCACTTTCCGAGCGGATTGTTCAGACTGACCATACGGCTGCCCCCCTCTTCTTTGCTGCCATGATGATAGTATGATGGTGCGTAATACTTACGGTGGTGTTTGGTGCGGTAGTTAATCACGGGCGTGCGCCGTTTTGGCGCCCGCCACTGATACGGTCTGCACTACGTTTGTGTCACAAGTTGTTTCAGATAGTTTTGTTGCACGCTTCTCCTTCACCCAGCCTTGAGATCGGGAGGGTCTAAGGCACTCGCCCAAGGTGCCATGGCGGCATCAGCGGGCCCCTCAAGACATCAAGAAGGGAGGGGTCGCTCCCCCCCTGGTCATGCAGACGTACCTCTATCGGATGAAGACCGGATGCGACTCCTCATCTCCAAGTGCTACGATGACGGAGTATTGCTGGAAAAATTCTGTCACGGCGAATGGGTGTTGGAGGAGGGCGTTCGTACTTTCGTAGTCAATACTCGTTTGGACGAATTGACTACGAACTGGCTAAAGGAAAGGACAGTTACTATTATTTTTCAAGGAGAAGCCAGGGATCTCCCGATGAGAGTCAGAGAAGACCTCATAAGAGCTTATGAGAATGGTTGGTACCGGCAAGGAATCTTCGACCGGAGCACGAAGAGAGGAAGAGTCCACGCAGAGGGGCCTAATGTAGTTTCCTATGTAGCACGATCGAAGGAGATAACGCAATGGATGGTGGCAAAGGCGCAGGATGTCGTCTCAATCAGGGGAGTTGACTACGGTATGCTGTTCAAACCTTGGCTGACTCGAGTCGAGTTGCAGGAACGAAGGCGGCTGGATGATGAAACCAAATTCTGGGTGATGGCCATCAGGGTTCCCTTGAGAGCGATGTTTCATGTTGAAAGCATGGTGGAGACGGCCATGGGTCATGTAATCAACAGTCATCCGCCTGAGCAGGACCGGACGCGACCGAAGCTTATGAATCTCAAGTTTGAATTGGTGAAGGAGGCAGAGGACAGTTTCGAACCGGAGCTGCTGATCAGGTTGGGGCAAGAGGTGCTGCGAATTAAATTTGTTTGTAAGCACACGCCATGGTGTGAACGCTGCAAATGGTGGTTCCTCACGGCTGAAGATGGTTGCCCCAGAGTGGATGAAGAGCAGTCGGGGGACTCGGGCGGTAGACAACGCAATACGGGGCAGCCTTCGGATAGATCGCAGAGACTAGAAGTAAATCGTTTTATTAGAACGGCGGTGAGACAGGCTATACCCTCGAATGTTGGCAGGGGCCAGCCGCTCCGTTCAGATCCGGCAGCGGAACCAATCAGGGCAGCATCTTCTGGAACCGCGGTGAGAAGACAAGGAGCACAACAGTTAGGGGGTGGACCTGGCTCGGAGCAATCCGTCAACAGAAGTCATCTGCAGCCTCTGGCGAGAACCTCAAGACAGAGTTCTTCTCAAGATGTTAGGGCTCCAACTATGGCTGCGAGACCGCCGGCTTCAAGTAGGTCGCAGGGTTACCAGGCAACGGCCTCAACGCAAGGTCACATGCATTTGGCGAATGGTTTCCAGCCATATATTCCACGATGGGGACAGACTCACTGGCAAGGATATGGCTTCCAACCTTTCGGAGTCAACCCCGCGGACCTTGGCTTGCAATTCCAGACTCCATATGGGATGGGTCAGCCTCTATTTTATGGTCCAAATTTCAACGATCCGAGCTACGGCATCCCGAATCGGATCGGACAGCCGTCCCTTCCAGGATCGGGATACGGAACTGGATCACGGGACTCAACGGAGAGAAGGCGAGCTACGCGAGGTTCTCCGGAACATCAGCAAGCGGTCTCCCGTCCGCCTCCCCCAAAGCAGCAGGCCACACAGATTGACGAGGACCCAGAGGTTTCAGGTGAGGAATCGGAGGGACACGGAGGCTCAGCAAGGCTGTCTCCCACTAGGTCGGAGGTGGAAGTCACACGGGGTATGATTCCCGATGAGTATGTGGCTCACGGGCGAGCGGTGAGAGAGCGTGAAGAACATATGTTACTTCCCTTGGTCTGCACGCTTCAAGATGCCACTATTCAAGTAGTTGGTCTTTTGAATCAGGAGGGAAATTTGTCGCTCCCAACAGTCACCCTAACAGAGCTTCCGATGCCGTCGATGATTATGGATAATGTGAGATTCCTGTTTGCAGACCGTTTCCCTTTCAAAATTTTTCAGGAGTTCTATATGCCGAAGATTAGGGTCGTCATGGAGGATGATAGTATTATTTACTACATGGTAGTTTTTATTGACGCACGGTTTACTTCGGCGCAATGGGAGGGATTGGGTCTAGTGGGGCTGGGAACCTTCCCTCTTGAGGCCTTGATTGAAGCCTCGGACGAGACTCTCTCTCAAATTCTAGTCGGTCCAGGTGTGGCTGCGTCCTTCCTGGCAAACCTGCATCCCAGCATGCCACGTACGTGTAACCTTTCGTCATCTCCCTTCCTCCGCTGCTTAAGTATGGATTGGGCGGATATGGAAATTTTAGGGGAAGAGGATACCCGCCCAACCAATCCCCCCCAAGCAGGAATCCAATCTGCTCTCCCGGCCCCAGTTGCAAATGGGTAGACTACGAATAGCAACTCGTAATGTACGGGGTCTCGGGGATTCGGGGGGAAGATGGAAAGGTAGACGCTTCAAGGCCTGGATTCACCAGGAGAGACTGGATGTGGTGCTGCTGCAGGAGACAAAGTTGTCAGAGTCTAAACTCACCCAACTACAGGATTGGTGGGCAGGCCCGCAACTTTGGTCCCCTGCACGAGATTCCAAAGAGGGAGTAGCAATACTCATCCACAGCAGAATCGAAGCTCGGCTAATTGAATACGACAGTGATGTGTGGGGTCGTTGGTGTTGGGTCAGACTGTTAATTGGCGGGTTGGATTGGGTTTTTGCCACTGTGTATGCTCCTAACGATCCAAGCCAACGACTGCTGTTCCTGGACACTCTGCCCTTCGTCCTGCCTAACTCGGACCGTCTAGTGATAGGAGGTGACAGGAATCTTGTCTGTAGCCCGGGTCTAGACTCAGATTCGGTGGGAAGAATGACCTCTGACAGAGCCAGACTTCTCAGTTGGAAGGAGAAATGGGGTCTAACGGACGTCTTCAGGGAACTCTACCCTACCGCTTCGGGCTATACCTGGTTTGGACAGTCGCCTCAGCAGTCGGAGGTGAAAAGAAGACTCGACTTTTTCTTGGTTTCGGGAGCAGTCAAGGACCGGGTGATGGACGTGGAAGTCTTAAATGCCCCTCTGTCTGACCACAAGCCGGTGGTAATGAAATGCTCGCTGGCAGAAGTGGAAGAAAGGGGCCCAGGGTACTTTCGCCTGAACACCTCATTGCTAGCTGATGAAGGAATCAAGGATTGGGTGGCAGGGTTTTGGGCAGACTGGAAAGCTGCCAGCTCGAACTTCGAAAGTACAGCTGAGTGGATAGATGCAGGTTTGAGGGTTATCTCCCTGAAGCTGGACTGCTTTTCTCGGATCTCGGCCTTTATTCGTAATAAGGAAGAATCGGGCCTGAAGCAACGGGTGACTGAGGCGGAAGGAAGGCTGGGAGTCAATCCAATTTCAGACCTCTTTTGGTCTGAAGAAAGAGCTCGAAGACTGCATGACTGGGAGGAACATCAGGTCAAGCAGGAAAGGTGGAGGGCTAAGGTACTGGAAGTCAAGGGTATCATTTCCTCAGATCGTCTGTCCAAAGACGCCTTTAAGCGGCTGCTTTCCCGCTACACTGCTGTTCAGATGAAGGAGCTGCAACATCCGTACTTGCTGGGCAAACCAATCGCTGCAGACAATAAGGCTATGTGTAACTACGCAGCTGACTATTTCCAGGACATTCTAACAACGAGGAGGCCTTTCGACAGCCTAGACGACAATATGGCTTTAAACTCCACTGTCTGGAACAATGTGCACTGCATGCTCCCACTGGAGGGCAGGCTGTTAATAGACAGGCCTGTTACGGCGGAAGAGCTCACTGAGACTCTTAAGTGCATGGCTCGGGGCAAAGCCCCCGGAGATGATGGTTTACCAGTTGAGTTTTTTGCAGCCTGCTGGGAGGTCCTGGTGGGCGATCTGGTCCATCTTTTCAACAAAATCAGACAGGGTGGGAGACTTGGGAGGACTATGACAAGAGGAATTATCTCCCTGCTGTTCAAGAAGGGGGATCGCAGCGACATCAGAAACTGGCGGCCGATCTCCCTCTTGAACGTGGTCTACAAACTGTTGGCCAAACTGTTGTCAAGACGGCTAGGGGACTACCTTCCGGGCCTGGTGCAGAGAGACCAAGGCGCCTTTGTGAGAGGAAGATCGATCTTTGAAAATGTGGTAACAGCCATTGAGGCCTTAGAACTGATTGAAAGAGAAGAACTGGATGTGACTGTTCTCCTGCTGGATCTTGAAAAAGCCTTCGACCGCGTAAATTGGACCTTTGTCTTGACCACTTTGAGGGTTATGGGTTTTGGAGAATGTTTCTGCAATTGGGTAAAAGTCATGTACGGACATGCAACTGCTGCCGTCTGCGTCAACTGTATGATCTCAGAGGAGTTCGACCTGAGAAGATCATTGCGCCAGGGCTGCCCTCTGGCTCCGCTCCTTTTTGTACTGCACTTAGAGCCACTCTTGTGCAATATCCGCTGCCATCCTGATATAAGAGGTCTTGACCGGTTAAGAGGCGGAGACAGCCGGGTCAAAGCATTGGCTGACGACCTCTTCGTCATCTCCGTTAATCAGGTGGATTCCCTCGATGCGTTGAAAGGCTGTCTCTCGGAGTTCGCACGACTATCGGAAGCCGCGGTTAACTGGAGGAAGTCGACATACTTTCTACCAAGACGGTATGCCCCGGCAGTGCAATGGGGAATGAGCAGGGCGGCTGCGGAGGAAGCGGAGCGTTTTCTGGGGGTTCAGATCGCTTTGGGTGATTGTACCGCGTTGCAAGAGAAAATCCTGCAGGAGAAAGTCCGTAAACGAATTTTGAGTTGGGGCCCTGCATTTCGCCTCTCTTTGATTGGCAGAGTCCTGGCAGTCATGGCTTCTGCCTTTGCCCTTCTCTGGTATGTGGCCACAATCAGAAGGATGTCGCCTCCTATGTTAAAAGCTGTGAAAGGATATGCTCGCAGATTCATCTGGAAGCCGGGGAGCGACCAGGACAAGGGATATATTTGTAAGGTTGCCTGGGACACGTTGTGCAGACCCCGTAGTGAAGGGGGATTGTCCTTGCTAGACCCAGCCTCACAAAACACAGCCCTGCTTGCCAGATGGGTCATTAAAGTCGCAGAGGCTGAGGACGGGACAGATTGGGTTTTGCTGGCGGAAACACTGCTTTCGAAGGAATGGGGGCTGATGCGCCCATCAGACACTTGGGTGGCCATTATGACCGAAACCTTTGCGAGCAAGCGTCCTAAGTCGAAGCTCTGGAAGGAAGTGTTACAAGCCTGGAAGAGTTGCAGACCTTCGTTGACTAGAGCCCCAAGATCTAAGGACGAGGTTTGCTCACAGCACCTGTTTGAGAACACTCATATTATAGGTATCGATGGTGATTGGTTCTCATTGCAAAGGCGCCCAGGTAATTTCGGCTTGAGCTGGTTGCAAAAAGGGCTTTCAAAGGTGGGAGACCTGTGGGACAGGCAATGCAACAGATGGAAATCCCCAGCTCAGCTTAAGGACATTCTGGGTCAGCTTCCAGACCAGGTAGCGCGTTTTCGACTGTTGCTCGAAGCCATCCCTGAAGACTGGAAACGGCTTCTGGGCCCCGAAGGAACGGACCCACCAGGCACTTGGTACACCACCACCTTTGACGGAGCGGAGCAGTTTTGCAGATTAGAAAGCTGGACGGAGGACAACACCAGGAAATGCTGGCTCGAGACGTACAGTCGCACTCACCCGAACCTTCACACCCTGTTGAGAGACGGGATTCGCCAGCAATATGGACTGGCTGAGTTGAGGGAGGTCAGAGTGAGGATGATTCCTCCCAGCGAAGAGGGCTCCCCTTTAATCCCGGTACTTGTTGGGAATGGGACCACGCTGCGCTGTTTGAGGATTGACCCAGAGGTGTGGGGCTGGCAAGTGGAAGACTTGGTAATCATGGGCCTGAGTAATTTAAATGCCGCCCTGATCTCAAAGAGAAAACAACAGTCGATATCGATTGCCAGGAGAGTCTCCACCAGATGGTCCCAGCGCATTAACTACTTGGACTCCCCATCGGAACCAGAGCTGTTCAGACTGTGGTCACAACTGCAAGAGCTCCCGTCCCAGAAAATTGCTTCCTTGCTATGGTTACAATCTCATTTGGCTGTTCCTACAGCACAATGGCTGACAGAGAGGGGAGTGGAGGTAAGAAACATCTGTGACAGATGTCAGGAAGCGCCAGAGACAATGCAACATCTTTGGTGGGACTGTCAGAGATCCAGGAAGTGGTGGAGATGGTGGGAATACCACTGGCAGCGTTTTGCAGGGAAATCCGATTTGGTGGGGCAGCGCTGGGTTCTCACGGGAAGCCTCCCCAGGAATTATCGGGTTTCAGAAGGCTGGGGGTATATTGCGCAGGTGGGCAGGGGTATCATGCTCTGGGTTATCTGGCTTGACAGGAACAGTCTCAGGTTCCAGGGTAAGCTCATGGAGGAGCAAGCAGCAGAAGCACTGTTCAAGAAGCTCCTGGCTGCCGCAATTCAAGCAGATTGGTCCCGCAAAGTTCAACAAGGGGAGCGTGTTCAGGGCAGAAGGTGGTTCTCCCATACGTGGGGTCTGGGCTTGGCACACATCTCGCCTGAGGGTAACCTTGTTCTGGGGAACTGGCTCAGCTGAGACACCGTAGTAGGGTGAACCAGGGCACTCGGTTCCAGTGGGCGGCCACAGTAGACCGCATAAGGGAGGGTAAGTCGGTCCCTTGGAATAGAGTCCTCTCTGTCATGGTTAGACAGGGCCATGGCCAGAAGGTCTTGGAGGTAGATCTGGACTTTTGTAGGAGGAGAGTGTCTGCTTCCGTTTCTGCCGTTTTAGGCAGCACTTTAGATTAGCGTTAGATAGGCTAGGTTAGTTTGGTACATTAGGCAGATTTGGCTCCTGATGCGGGCATTTTAACGTGTGACTTAGGATTCAAGGCTTTGTTTAAGTTTCTGGGGTTTCGCAGACTTGCAACATTTAAATTTGGGTAAGCATAGGGTTTAGTGTCTGTTTAAGCCAATTGGCAATAAGCTAAACCGGCTGATGCTTCCGGGATAACTCCGGGTTGAATTGTGAGGTCCCCGGCCTCTGGTTCTTGATTTGGAATACTAATGAAGAAGAGTTTTCAAAAAAAAAAAAAAAAAAAAAAAAAGGGGGGGGGAGAGGAAAAAAAGAAAAAAGAAAAAAAAAAGGCAAGGAGCAAAAACGAACCTACCAAGGTACGAGAAGAGCAGAAGATACCACACCCGTATTGATTATTTGCCGGATTGGCCAAAACACCTCCACGGTGTGAGGTGCAAACGTTGAGCGAATGTAGAAGCAAGGGCCTCGCCACACCACTCTTGGGGCATACTCACACTAGCACGAACTTCTGCAATTTCTGTTTTTTTTTTTTTTTTTTTTTTTAACCGCTAGTACCTTTCCTGCGTGGGAAAATAGCAATAGGGAAAACTGGCTGTTTTCCCAAACTCCTAAAGATTCGGCTGCCGGGCCCGACTCTTGATTTCAAACGCAGAGGGAGGCCGGGGACCTCACAATTCAACCCGGAGTTAACCCGGAGTTATCCTTACTGCTCCTAGGGCCTATCACTTCTCAATGCTGCCCGACATACCGCCCTCCCTTCTAACAAATGCCTTAACCCACTCAGAAAATGAATAGATTGCCGCCCGTTAACACCATTCCACTCTTTCTTTCTTCTTTCTCACTCTGGACTGTTCAACCAATGCTCTAAGCTAACCTACAGCCTACCCCGGATCTACCTTCACAGGCCTACACAGCCTGACACCGGTCTACCCCGACCGATTGGAACAGAAGTTCCTGGTCACCGTGGCACTCTACCACCCACCTCCCCCTAAATGACCTGCTGCGGTCTGATCCTCGAACCGAGATGCCCTGGTTCGTAGGCCCACTCCTGCTAACCCCCTAACCCCCTTCTAACGGCCAATTGGAGAAGACTAGCCCTCGGGTGCGATGGTAACCCGCCAGCTGGTTCCGAATAGCTCAGGTCTTTAGAAACCACCATAGTGCACGTCGACAGGCTTTCCCCTCCCTTGCCTTCCTTCTCCAATCCACTGCTATTGCTTGCCTCAGACCTTTCTTTATTGCTGCCTTCAGCTCCTTGTCTGAGAAAGGGCGTCTTTCGAACCTGGAGCGGTTGCAGTCCGCCCAGGTTACTGTGCAGATCACCGCCCTGGCCACTTGTGCTACATACGGCCAACCTCTGAGCCCGGTGCATCCTTCCTCAGTAAACCCCAACAGAACCCACTTCTCCTCCCATACGACCCCTTCTCCCCCCATCAGTTGCCAATGTGTGGCCCACCATCGCCAAACACGTCTAGAAGCCGGACAGTCCCACCATAAGTGTCGGGTGGACTCGAAAGGTTGTGACGCCCAACCTCACGCCCAGCGCGACTTCCTGATCGGAGTAGAGTGTGGGCTTGGAAGTGCGAAAAGGGGTGTGCCAAGGATTTTTGGGAAAGTGGGGGTGGAGTCCCAGGTCAGAACTGAGATCTCCTGTGGCAGAGTTTTCGGGGTTACGGGTGCAATTTAGCGGAGAGGGCGGACTGCTTCTGGTCAGAAGGCAGATGGTATGCGTGGGTCATTTATGGCTGTTCGATCCATCTTTGCTGAGGAAGGCGGTTCGTCGAAAAATCCCGTCAGGGTGGGTGTGACCTCGATGAGTCGGGTCGTCGGTTGTCGCCACGTGGCGCCGGTCGTCGTACGTTCTGGTTGGGCCCTCGCGGTCCCGATGCTCTCTGGTTGCCGCGTTGTCGACAATTTCTACAGGGCGTGCTGGGCCAGTAGGGGGCTATGGCTTTCCACGGGATGACCCTGAGTTGATGATACGGGAGAAGAAGGCGGAAGGGATGGAAATTAGTGGAGATAACGACAAAACCAGGGGAGATAAAGTAGTGGGTGTGGTCTGAAGTGGGGAAGTCAGAGCACCGGGGGTCGCTGGTGCTGGCGCAATGAAACTCCCTAGGACACAACCGATTTTATGTTAGACAGGGAAATCTTTGTCGAAGGCTTTCTTCTATCCACGGGGTGAAGTAATCCGGGTCGTACAACGACTCTAAGCTCTCGGAGTGCGTCATTATGCCATCGCAGAACTGCGAGATGCCCACGGGTGGGTCTGTGCCAATTGCGGTCACCCCGTGTGAGCACGTGCAGGCCGCGCGAGTCGAGTCCCGCTTACACGGGTTCACACAGGATGATTGCTCCTTCGCAGACCCCGGGTGACCGTATCCAATCAAGCGGTATTCCTGCAATCAATGGTCCTTTCTGGAGTTGACGAATCGACGCATGGGGACACATGTAAATGCGCAGATCGAAACGTGTTTACACGCGTCCTCGCGCGGCGTTCGCGGGGCAACAGTCATTCGATCGTCTAGTCACTTCGTAATTTCCGAGCATGCGAGATGTAACAACCACAACAACTCAATCAAAAGCTAGGCAAAAATGGAAACAACATTGATGACTATGCAGAATTCCTACCCTTCATACGAGTACATCAAGACGAGAAACAAAAGCACAGATCGGGCATAAGAATCAGCAAACAGACATAACATCCATTCATCCATTCATTCAGCAACACACACAATATATCTGAGATGTAAATCGCAGAGACAAGTGTGAGCAAAAACTCAAGTCCTGATTCCAAAAAACAGAAACGGGCAAATCGCCCTGAGCCGAAACCAAAATTTATATACACGAGGCGGGAGGGAGAAAAGATAAAAGAAACAACAAATTCGCGTCCATCAACCTCAGCTCCCTCTTCCTCTTTCTCTCTCTCCCCGATGCGGACAGTCCGTCGTCGCGCACCAACCCACGAAGTCGTCACCCCGCTTAGTCCTCCCGCACCCGTGAGGTTTGCCCACGCCCACAGTCCGTCGTGGCCCGTGTCAACTCCCCGCGTTCGGCACCAGCTCGTCGGGTCGCCCGACTCCTGCTCTACTCACCTCTTACTTCGCCCATGTGCCGACCCTCTCTAATCACGCAACCCCGAGCTTCCGCTTAGCTGGTTAAGAGAGCTAACTAATCGCACAGCCGGAATTTATAGCGTGCATGCATGCACGAAAAACACGGAATTACAAGGACTTAGAAAGGAAGATTAGAGAAGGAACGCCTTCGTTCTGCATGGCCCAACCGCGGCGCGGGGGACGTAGCCACTCTCCACGCATCGATCCGATCATGCAGGCCGCGGCTACAGAAACACAGCGAAAAGAAATCGAAGAAGGGCGGGAAAGGCGAAACAAGAAGAGAGATACAGTTACAATGACGCCCGCCCAAAATTACAGTTACACGCACGATTAAAGGCGCCGACTAATCAGAGTTCCGTTGCAGCCGCATAAAGAAGCGCGTGAGCAAAAAGCGTCGCGCGGCAAAAGGAAATCCTAATTACAAAAATTCCTAAATTCCTATCTAATGTGAAAAAACGAAGAGCACAAGTTCTGGAAAGAAAGTCTGAAATTCCGAGAGCCGTATAGGCTCGACAAAATCTGAAAAGGAATTCAAAAAGAACGAAGCAGAATTCCCGCGCGATGTCCGCGCCTAAAAAGGTCCGAAACTGAAGCAAAAGAAACGACGTCAACATTTATCAATCGCGCGCTTGGCAGCGCACCGCTCATACAACCGACCAATCAATCGCCCGTCCCGGGACACGCCCAGCTCCGAACTCAGCCATCCGAAAAGAATCGACGCAAAAGACGAAGAAGCGAGGGTACTGATGCAATTTCCCACCGATCCCGATCTCCCGTAATTGGCCCAACCTTCCCAGCTTAGGACCCCTCATTGCAGTCGCGCAGAAAATCGCGCGCCACAGAAAGTGGTTCGTCACAACCGTGCCAAAAGCATCCTGGACAGCATCGTGCAGAGGAATTAGGGTGGCAATGGGAACTTGCTGGCACCGGACCCAAAAGAAACGGTATTCCACAACCTCCCTCCACTCCCACAATTCTTGCTCTGTCATCCACTGTTGGAAAGAGAGAGTGTGTTTTGCCATCCAGATCTAGCTCCGTCTGTCCTACCCTTAGCATCCATGATGCGATTTCCTTCGCTGTTACCACATATGTGACCAAATTCTTACCCTCGTTGTGAAATAACCCTCTCTTTAATGGGACGTCAATCTGTTTGGCGGTTGTGCAACCATTTTCATACACTCGCACCAAACGTTTTTTCACGTTTATAGGTAGCGAGGTTGATTCATCTCCAAACGTTATGGTTACGGCGTGCTCTCTTAACCATTCGGCGTGAATTTGGTAGAAATGGGGATTGACCACTACACGGACGTAGTCTTCCCCCACTTCTACAGTGTTCTTGCCCAGGTTCTTGGGCAAATCCCATCCATAAAGCACTGTGAGAGCAAATCCCGAATCCTCTTCTTTTCTTCGTCTGGTACTGTCGGGTTCTCTTCAGATGACTCCATTTCAGGGAAGTAGAGCATAAGGTAAGATAAGAATATAGAAAAGAGTAATATTGAAATGAAATAGAAGACAATATAGGCAAGATTAACACAAGGGAACACAGGTGGTCACAATAATGATAATAATGATAGTACAATGATACCTTAATGACATATGTGGGTGAGCACGCTAGGATGAGCCTTAGATGGTAACATACATTATGGGTCTGGGGAGGGAGGGAATAGGGGGTGGTGGAAGCCACCCCACATCAGTTTCATATTTACACAATACACCTCACACTGTCACAGCACTGCACAAGACATCATGGGT